GGCACAGTGGTAACATTGGCTAATTTTATGCTCAATGTGAAATCTTATAGCTGGTCAGATGGATTCCATAAGAAATAATTAGAGTCATTAGAAATAATGGGCTACAGCTGCAGTAATGCATGCTCTATGCTCAGTCCAGAGGTTTCTAAGCAAAATTAAATTAGCTCATGTTACCACACCGCTGCATCATATGCTCCTTGCCTCCTGAGAGTAAACTTCTCTGTCCATTTCCGTCCTACGAGGAAAGTTTGTGCCACACACAGAAAAATCCCTTGCTGGGGAAAAGAAATGCTGAAGGTTGAGGCTATCCCTTGTAAAAAATAGTTCAAAATTTTAAAAATTGTAAGTGGTAGCTATAGGCCCTCAGCTCATAACTCCTTTCACATATTGAGGATCATCCCTCTGCTGTGCTGCAGCCTTTGGTACCAGCCATGAACTGCAAGTCCTGTTGGCATCAATGCTGGACCCAGGTGAATATTTTTCTCCCTGAACTATTTGCAATAAACATTATTTGTTTAAGGAAATTATGTCCACTTCACTGGAAGCACGTCAGCAGCCCCTAGCTGCTGGTGGTACTGCCTTCACATCTTTAATATCCTCTCTTCTCTCTAAATTCAAAAGGCAGTTCATAGCAGTAAGGAAAACAACACATTACCCTGAAGGGGGTGAGGAGGGGGACAAGAAGGAAATATAATCCATGGTACTGGAGTGATTAATGTGACTTATGATGAAGGAAATGAAAACTAGAAATCTGGGTAAGTAATGATGTTTCCAATAGAATGACTTTCACTGAAACCACAGCACAACTCATAGGCTGACCTTCTTTAAATTATTGCTGAAGTTTTCAAAGCAAAGCAGGGATGGCACTGAAAATTTTGCTCCCTTGTTGATTCCCAGGAGCACAGAATTTCCAGCCATAGCAGGAGAGGAGTTCACCTCGAGCTGCCCACATGCCATCACCTCTCTTTAAAATGTGAGATGCTTCGGTGATAGGTTTGAGTTAAAGGGCTTCAGAGGCACATTTAGCACTGTCCATTAAGCATGGTGAGCTGGAGGAAGGCTTCCCCTGCATACATCATCCCGGACATTGATATGCAGGCCGAGTGTGCTTAGTGGGAGGAACAAGACTAACAGTGGTTTTGATGAAGGTAAGAGCCTAATATTGCAGCTTTGGAAAGATCAGTTCTCCATCTGCCAGCCATCTATCTTTGGCTATGGTACTTACCTGGTCTCAGTTATTACAGTATGTAACCGCTTCACAACCACTAATATATTTATCTTTTTATCCTCCCTGTGGAGTTGGGAAGTGCTATTACCTCTGTTGCAGAACTAAGAACTGAGATTAAGGGTCAGATTTGTTATGGCGTTTAGGTGCTCAATGGGATTTTCAAAAGTACCTGGCACCTGTGGTAGTCAGTAAAACCTGAGTACTTTGATGGTTCTGAAAATCTAGTTACTTGTATCTTTTCTTTGAAAACTTTGTACTTATATGGCACCTTGGGATCTGTAGGACAGATATCTTTTCTTTGAAAACTTTGTACTTACATGGCACCTTGGGATCTGTAGGACAGATTCACATGTTGTGGGCAGTCACCCAGACAGGAGACTGTTTTTCATCGACCTACTAGGAGACTGTAGGTGGGACAGGAGCAATTTTATGGCAGTAGCTTATCTTGGTCCTGAATTCAGAAAGCTGTAACTCTGTGCATAGTGGTGAATTTATCCTCCTTGCCCAGCTCTGAGAGAAGTCAGAATCTGGTCCTGGAAATACTGGAGCAAAAATAAGCAACACCCATGGTCAATAAAAAGGGCTTGTGTGCCAATTGCTGGGATGGAAAATTCAAGAGCAGGAGCAAATAATGAAACAATCTATATTCACGCAGCCACCTTGCAGCCTGCTGCTGTAAGTACGGGCTCACACCTAGCCAGGAGATGTGAATCCAGAGTATCACACTGGAAAACAAATGTTGATTTTTAACAAATTATCTGTTCATCGCTAAATCATTCTCTTTCATTATTAGTCTCCAAATTGGTTCCGCTCTGAAAGACAGAATTAGGTTTAAAAGTAGAGTGTCTCTTAAACACTTGCTTCAAATGAAACTATTCAGTAAACATTACTCAACCCCCCCAGAGCATAAACTCCTCCAGTACTTCCTCTGGCTTTGCATGGATTTTTCAGCTCCTGCTTTAAAGACAGGTGTCTCAAGGATTTATTCAGGATATCAGAAAATAATCAAATCCTTTACAAACCCCTCAAATACAAAATAAAATTTTATTAAGATCTTTTTGTCCTCATTTACAGTAGCATAAATTGGGATAAAAGTCCCATGCAAGCAAATAGAGTTACACATGTATCAAACATGTAAGAGAGAGAAGAGTCAGACTCAAAACCCATGGCACAAGTACAAAACCGTGTGGGCTGCAGGCCCAAGTTTCTTATCATCCAAAAGTCTGCACTTTGCTGTGGTAGTGCTTGCACTCATTTCAATAGTTTTAAGGTTTAAAATAAATAAAAAAATAACCTGGACTTCAGAATGGTATTTTTAACATTAAGGGAATGGTTTTTGCTTAATTCAACACATCAGCACGGTTGGAACTTGGAACTTGGGAACACTTTTATCTAATAGACTCCCAGGTGCTTGGGAAAAGTACCCATTCAAAGTTCAAAGCATGCTTTTAACTCCGTTTGATGTTACGGGGTCCTGAGTGCACAGGGGACAATATGCAAGCAGAAGACCCCTCTTGATCCCACCCCCCTGCCCCTCCATGGCAAGACTGTCACCAATTTCCCAGCTCCCCACACTCTCCAGTAAGGCACTGGTGTGGGACTGGGAGGCTGCTCTGGCACAGGACAGGAATGGAGAGCTGCTGCTGCTGCTGCTGCAGATGAGGCCGTTTGCACTGTGGTGTCTGAACACTGTTTTGCACTTAGAAGATTTATTTCACAGTGGGCAGAAGAGCTACAAGATTAACAGATGAACAAATATCTTGAGACAGCCAAGACATCAAAGAAATTGAGGAGTCACTAGGATGCTGGAGAGCTGAAGAGTCACCTGGCCATGGTTCTTCGGAATTATTTTATCCTCAGATTAGCTTAGCTGTCTTGAGGTTTGAACACATCCTCTGGTGAATTTAGCTACAATGACTTAAGACATTACTGGCCTCAGCTCTCTGCCTCTCCTCTGGAGGATCCTCCCTCTGGAGCAGAGGTGGCAGGAGGGGATATGTGCCAGCATCCCAGCCACTGCAGTGCAGATCCTTCATTTTTCAGGATAGGAACCAGCTTGTGAGCTACAGCAAGGATGAGAGCAGACTGTATCCTTGGTCAGAAGTCTCCAGGGAAAATGTGGGGCAGACAGCATGTTAAGCCACCATAATGAAAGCCTCTGGAGTGCATGTGCAGGCCCTAAGGCTGTGTACTGTGACTATTTTTACCACAAAGAAATTCTAACCGATATTGGAAAGGCAGTTATTGCAATTGGAAGGTCAGAGGGAATCATATCCCAGGTAGTGCTATTTAATGTCAATCATTCTTTGCAGGCTTTTTCTCCTCCATGCAATCTGCAATTCAATCAGGGAAGGAAAAAAGTGAGTAGCAGTAGTCTTAGCCTTAGGTTCCTTGTACAGGAACCAGCCAAGGGGTGATACCAGAGGAAGGATCAGAAGAAGGTTTATGTAAGATGTAGCTTCCCTGCAGAGAGCAAACCAAAAGTAGCTCAGAAACATTGTGCAGAGGCTGCTAACCATGAGACCATGCTTATTCCATGGGCTGCATGTGCCTCAGTTCTTCCCTGAAATTTAGATTTAGTTGAATCAGCCAGGAAATTATGGATGAGTTTGAGGTCTTGAGGGAAAGGCATTCAAAAAGCAGCAATATGAAGACACCAACAAGAGGGAAAGTCATAAGTTGAAAAGTGCCACACAGAGGGAACTGTGCCTTTGCTTTATTGAACTGTTGGCTGCAGTAAATACAGCTGAATCCCCTCAGTCCCCCATAATGTTGTCTCAGTACCAGCAGGAGTACATTTAAGAATACACTTGCTTGCACAAATGATTATATATGAAGAGCAGGGAAGCAGCTGAAGTGCCACTGCAGCAATGCAAGCAAATCCGAAAAGCTTGCCCAAGTAAGTTTGGTGGTTTTGTGCTGCCCTGTGCTTTGGTTCTCTCATGCTGCCTGCCCAAAGCAGGCAAAGCAGAGGGGCTCCTGTTCCAGCCCATCTGCCTGCTTCACCTATGGGGAGACCATAGTCTAGATTTTGTGAGGGTACAGCAAATAAATGGTAATGAAATCAACTAAGAGGATATTCCCAAAGAGGGAGAATTGGGATTTTTATTATCATTTTCAATACAGAAAGTAATAAGAGACTGTATTATAAAGAAGAGACAAGTATAAGACCTATGAATGGATAATCAGCAAGGAAGACTGAACCTTGTGCTTCTACAGCGTGCAGCATTAAGCCAAATTGCCTGAACCTAAAGGTTTGGCTATGTTAGTGCTGTAACAGGGTTGTCTGATCCCTGTGTGCTGTATCCATGGTTAGAAGCACCTCAGAGGGGGGCCTGGCTGTGAGCAGTGGGATGTGAGTGTAGCACCAGTGACTGGGAATTTGGGAGTCTTCACCCAGGTTGTTTTCATTGATTTCCTTATGTCCTTAAACCCTTCCAAACCTCACATTGCAGGAAGTCAGGAGAAATAATACAAATCTGAACGTGCATACAAGCAAGCTGATCATGGGGGAAGTTTTATTGCACATTGCATCTTGTCCCAGCATTCACAGCACCTCGAAGATGATGGGAAATGTTAGGAGATTGGCTTTGTGGCATATTTTACCACACTGTGCATGAGTCCTTTCCACTGTCTGAACCAGGCATGGGTCTGGACATAGATGGGTCCTAAGGTGCCGTGCAGTGGGTGGTCAGGCTGTGCCAAACAACAGCCTGAGGTTCAGTGTGACTGTTCAAGCCCCCAAGCCCTGTAACTCCCCTTTCTGTTGCAGACTGGAGTCGCCGACACGGGCGCTGGTGATGGAGGCCCCAAAAGGCATCGAGATCAACGCCGAGGCCGGCAGCTTGAAAGCCACGTGCAGGACAGAGCTCAGGCTGGAATCCAAAGACGGAGAGGTAAGGGAAGGAGGATGTCAAGCCCTGCAGCAAAACCAAACCCAGCCACAGATCTCCTGCAGATCTGTAGCCTTCTGAGTCACGGAGCCACTGCGTTTGAACCACTGGTGTGAGGGCACTGCTGAAGCAGACCTGCCTGGCTTAGTTTCTGCTAGCAGTGATTGAACATATCATATGCAAACAAGCCCCACTCTGTGGCAAAGGCTGATTCATTATTTTTAAAGTGCTTGGATAATAGCATCTGTTGTTCACGCAGATTTATGCAGCTGTAAAATACATAGTGCTCCTAAATGCTTTGTTTCCTTGTCACTTTAAAACAAGATTTACTTGCCCAACATAATTAAATCTTTTATCATACATTTTTCTATAAGAAGAGCTTAATTCACAGTTATTGATCTGAAAAGCTTTTGCAACTGATGTTTTCATTTTGGAAAGAAAGGGAACATTAGGAGGCACAAGTTGTTGCACTGGGGAAACTTCCAGTGGGGAAAAGAGGCTAACTAAAACTGCTAACACAGAAGTAAAAGAGGTGTTGAGCTAAGCCTCTGCTGGTGCCTCAAAAATACATGAGAACATGGTTCTCATCCCATCCTACTGCCACAATGATGGAAGACACCAAAGTACGTGGCTGAGGAGCTCCTGCTGGGGAACTGACCGAGAGCTTCAGCAGTAGGAGATGCCCACTGAACCCAAATCTCCTCTCCCAGCCAGGAGAGCTCCAACATGACTAATGTTTTCCTATCTTAGTGTCATGTGTAATGAACAGAACAAGATTTCTGTTGCAATTCCTGTTATTTCTAAACATATGCATTTTAAGACATTGTATACTCGGCCCATGGGTGTTAACAAACAAACTCAAAAATACAGAAAAAAAACCCCATACCTAATATACTACTGTTGAAGTCCAAGGCATTTCACTACTATAAGCAACCACTTACCTTAATGCTTTTAACACTAAGTTGCTTTTAAAATGCATATATTGACCTGTCTCTTTCAGGAGATTAGATGGTTGGATGAAACTAGAGACTTACTGTACTTGCAAGAAAAGAGCAAATTCCATTAGTTGCCCTGTAATATTCTAGTGTGCAGGGTATCTCACTGTGCTCTTCTCAGTAACATTAGAGCACTCCCCTGTAGCTGCCATGTGTCTAAGAGCTGCCACATGTTCACTTTTACGTTCTGCTTTATGAGGAGAAATTCAGGTCTGTTACGGCATTCAAGTTATTTTTAATATACATAGAAGTGTTACACCAGTACATCAAATACACATGAAAAGCAGTGCTGTGAGCCTGCAAGCATAACTGGCAGTGGGGTCACAGTGCCAGAAGTCTTGGTGGAGGGGTGGAGTCGCTGTGTGGACATGAACCACCCAGCAGTGGGGCACCTCTGGTTAGGTTAACCCTTAGACAGAGGTGCCCCAGGAAGCCTCAAGCCCTGAAAACACGGCGGGTATATTAGCAGAAACAAACTGGAGGTCTTAGGTGGCTCATGGTAAAGGCAAATAATAGGCCTACCCACATCTGTATGAGACTTTCCCATTTTTATAGACGTGCTTACCCAGTTTTTGTAGCAGCTGAGTTGTCCAAAGGAAGCTTCTTTAAATACAAGATTAAAAATAACGGCTCTCCACTAATTCTCTCTCCTTCTCTCTCTCTCTCCACCTCCAACTTCAGACAACGTTGAATTCTGCAAAAATCAAACTACCTAACTTGCCTCAAGGATCTTCCTCTTCTGCAGGGTCCAGGCAAAAAATCTACGAGCTCTGTGTGTGTCCCAATGGGAGGTTATTTCTGTCTCAGGCAGGCACTAGCTCCACCTGCCAGATAAACACGAGCGTCTGCCTCTGAGAGACAATTTGCAGTGGGGCATCGCAGGCAGCACAAAAGCCAGTTCTGGTCTCACAGATTGCAGCTGCCAACTATTTTTACAAGAACACAGAAAGCCTATCAAAGACTTTTTTTGTGTGTGCGCGCGCGTGTGTGTGAATATATATATAAAAATATATATATAAAATATATATATATCCTCTGTGTAAAATGATGTTTCAGTACAAGGAATCCCAGGGTGACCCTGTTACATTTGTGTAGCATTTCTCTTTCCCCACACCAAAATTTACTGGTACAATCTGCTGAATTGGATTTGATGCTCCCCTGGACCCTTCTGTATTAATATAGTGTAATGATTACCCCTCGTTTTTGATCACATTCTCAGAGCAATGGGATTGCTGGCTGGGCAAGACCCGGGAACTGATGTAGACCCACCAACATACAAAGGGAAGAGAAGCATCTCTGATTATTTTTGCACCATTAAATCAGTGGTATGAAAAAAAAAAAAACTAAACCAAATAACACAATAGCTAGATGTGCTGTACTGATCACCTAGAGTGATCCAAGATACCTGAGGTTAAATTCCACTCTAATTTTCACCTGAAGTGTGGCTCCCTGTTATGAGAGATGGATTGCACTTGACCAGTAGAAAAGTCCAAATTTTCTTGATAGAATAATCATGTATTTTTCCAAAGGGGTTTGAGACTTGCCTATAGACGGCCAAGGAAGCCTTGTACTATTCACACAGTCTGTGTGATGCATCAGCTCTAACTCTAACCTAAGGCCATCTCTGTGCTAACAAAACTGGTGTTGCCTTTAGTTCTTGGAAAGAAAAAAAATATGAAAGTTGGATTAAACAGAAAAATCCTGAGCCTCCTTAGTTAACAGGTGTCCTGGATCACCCTACACACTCTCCATTAGCACCTTTAATTTTGAAAAGATTTGGTGTGAAGATTTAAGATTTGGACATTGCCTATCAATATCTATATAAACAGAGAAAATTACTTATTCTACCCATAGAAACAGAAATTCTTACAAATTAGGTGTGTAATGTAGATACTATGGCAGAATTTGTCATCTTTCTTTTCAGGATATACAGTCCAAGGTCACTTAGATTTGGTGGAGACTGCAAATATCAGAGATGCTGACAATGAAACAGACTATTTTAGGGATTTATAAAAGTGTGTGACAAAGCCAGATTTCTGGAAAGCAAAGGCTTTGGATGCTGGTTCCTCTAGAATTTGAGCCCAAAAATATTTGTGGCTGAATCTTTTCATGGTTGCATTTTTTCCTTATTTTAAAGCCTAGGAGTCTTGGGCAAGATAAAACATAAAATCTGATCTGCTATCATTACTTCCACTATTCAAGTTTTGAAAAACAGTAAGAACCCAGGTCATTGAATTCTGACCCATACTGAATCCATATGCATGAAAAAATCCTTGAAAAACAAATATGCTAATTACCACAAAAAGTATCCAAGTCGCAGTAAATCTCACAAAGTCAGGAAGGTTTCTAAGCCACTGAGATGCTTTTGAAAATATTACCTCATGTGCAAATGTGACAGATCTGTGCCCATCCCTAGTGATACCTAAGCAAAGCTGGTATTCTTCTAACGATCCTCAAGATAAAATGTAGCTGATAGCAATTGTTAGAAATAATTTAGCCTTTTTTTTTTTTTTTTTCTTTTTTTTTTTTTACAGATTTCCACATATTTTCTTGTGGTCTGGAGAGTACCAGAGTTAGATCTTTTTTCTTTTTTTTAATGAGCAATTCTGGCTTAATCCAAAACTGACTGACTCAAAGGAAAGACTTTTATGGAGTTTAGGTTAGATGTACTGCTGCTTAACAAAGCAGCACTCCCATAAAATTTATTCCTGAAAGACGCTTGAACAATTTACTTTTATTTCAGTAATACTTCCCAATTAATTAACAAATTCAAACTATTTGTTAATGAATATTCCTGTAATTATTATGTCTTGAGTCAACATTTGAATGCAAAGGGTCACCCAGGGTAACAATTGTATTGGGACACAGGACTATACCATCTCTGTTCAAAGAGGGGAATTGTGCCTATGCCTTAAGTCAATGCACTCAGCAAGGAGAAGCACATCATATTTATCTTGTTATTAAAACGAGTTTATTTGGGGGGAGGGACAGGAGGGTGTCTTGAGAACTGGTTGTGCAACTTAAAACAGATATTAATGAAATGCATTAAGACTGTAGGGGCACCTAGAGTGATACAGACCTTTTTTTTTTACCATGTTAAATATAGCAAATTACTGTGTACGTTACCTCTGGGACCACAACTGAAGTCCCATTTGTAGTCCTACATCTACTGTAGATTTTTTTTCCCTGTTTCATTTAGTAGCAATCACAAACCTTATAGCAAGTATGGCTCAATTCATAAACAAATCCTGTGTGAGCCATTGTGAAGACACATCCTGCAGGAAGAGTATCAGAATCATAGAACAGTTTGGGTTGGAAGGAACAATAAAGATCATCTAGTTCTAACCTTTCCCACTAGATCAGGTTGCTCAAAGCTCCATCCAACCTGGCCCTGAATACTTCCAGGGATGGGGCATCTACAAACAATCCGGGCAACCTGTTCCAGTGCCACTCCACCCTCACAGTGAGGAATTTCTTCCTTACATCTAATCTCAATCTACCTTCTTTCAGTTTAAAGCCATTACTTTGTAAAGAAAACAAGTTGCGTTAATTTTCTTATCCCCGAGAGTATTGATGCTGGTGAGAAAGACAGGGCTGAATGCAGGGACTGACCCAGCAGGGATGCTGCATCCTGATTTCCATGCTCTGCTCCTGAGAGGCCAGTGACTCAATCCTCATCCCTGGACACCCTCTGGCTGCTCTGCTGAGGATTTCCGTCCTGGCAAATTAATTCTGAGTGGTTGATCTTCTCAGCTGGGCTCTTGGATGAGTTTATCCCCTTCTGAAGGGCATTCAGCTATTTGTTTTGGTATTAATTTCTGTGGGGGAGCTGTTAGGGAACAGCCTTACACATCTGTGCCATCACTGGAGATGCTTCTCTGAAGTGAACAAAGGGTACCTTGATTATGTCCACACAAAGGAGTCCTAGTTGCATTAATATTGTTTACAATCATGTTTCCATCTTAAAAATTCTGTGTTGTGTTGAAAGATGAGGAATTGATGCTAGAAAGATAGAACATGTATAAAGACATGTAAATCATCTGATCCCCACTTGAGTTTTAAGTGGTTGAGATGCTGCTGCCTGTCCTTGTGTTGCCCGCGTGATTGTTGCTCAGCGAGTGGCAAACCAGAGCAAACAGGACCGAGTGTCTGAGATCCCAGGGGAAAAAACAGGCATTTTGTTAAAAAAGCAGCATGCAAACCCATCCGGCTATCTCATGCTTCCATTTGTTGTTGGGGGCTGTTATGGAGTGACTGACTCGTCTGTTGGATGAGGCAAGTGCATGGGAGTCCCTTTTCCTCCTGCCCTGCCCAGGAATCCCTCGCAGATGCTGGGCCTGTATGGGTTGGTTCTCCCTGAGTCCCTTTAAATTAGAGGCTCCCTGGCTGGAATTTCATCCACATGCTCTGCTTGCCATCGATAAAATGCCAAAAATGAACAAAGGTTTATGTATTTCTTTGTGAATCGGGCCTGCAGTTTAGCTCAACTGGGCATTTGCTGTTTGAGGCGATAGCATTTACCTCAAACCAGAGCTTAGTTTTACCTCCCAACACTAAGGCGAGGCTGGAACGGATGGTGAATTTGTTTCTACTGAGTTCAGTGGAAGAGATGCAGATGACTTTGTGGCCTGAGGTGGGACAGGAGCTGGATAGGTGACAGTTCAGGGCAATGAGGGCAGTGGAAGTGCTGCCAGCCCGCGGGGTGGCTGTGGGACAGAACCCTGCCTCGGCACTGTGTGCAGGTCTGCATTGCAGCTCTGAGCACTAAAACCCTACTCAAAGGCTAATCAAGGGACTCTGATACTAATGTCAATACACCTTAGGCAACCATGAATACTGCAGTATTCATAAATGCATTTATGTATTGTAACTCTTAACTTTATAGGGCTTTGAGACCTTGTTAAGTTTGCTTTAAATGCAACACTTTAGTAAGCAGTCAGGAAAATGACCATCAGCACTCACCTGAATACCAGTACCTTGTCCAGATATGATCTTCTACCTTCTGCTGTCATAGGTGAGTTAGGATGGCTTTTTCCAAAGGAAAAAGACTTTTTTTTTACACAAAAGAAGAGAGCCTAATACTCACTGTACAACTGTATCCATTCTCCAAGTTGCTTTGTGGTTTTTTGTTGTTGTCTTTTCTTTTTTTACACTTTTGAAGTATAATACCCAGTAGTCAATGATACCCAGTAGTCAATGAAATTGGTAACTTAAGAGTACAAAGAAATATTAACACTAAAGGAAGTCATCAAGAGGGGAAGCCACTAACTGCTAAAATATGTATAAGGCCTCTCCTGCATATACATTTTTAGAAAATTAAGTATGTGCAAGAGTGGTTTGTAATTGGTTATCTCAGGCATGTGTTGTCAAACATATGTCTTCTAAGAGTGTTTTTTTTTCCTTTAATCATAAATATCACATTGCACAAACAAGAAAGTTTAAGGCATAAGCCTAAGAATACCATCTGCAATATACAGTATAGCAAAATGATGTCTAAATAAAAAAAACCCTCCCTAGAAATTGTTCCAAGGTTAAAGACAGATTCCTGTGGAACTTGCAAAGATGTCAGGTTAGTTCACATCACACCTAGTTTGCAAATACAGATGTTCTTAAAGGAAATTAGCTTTTGTTGTCATAAGATGCACACATACAGATATGTATATATATACACACTCACATAGACTTGTTTACAACAAAAGCCAATTTTCTTTATATTTGTTGTTATGGCTTTAAGTTTCACATTGCAAACAAGAGTGAGACAAAGACCAAAGACTTCCATCCCTTTCTCTGGTTGCCCTCATGCCTGAAATGCATTAATTTTAATGGTGCTTTTTTGAACTGGGCAAGAAAAATACAGATTTATCATAAAGCTGCATTTGAGGAGTGAAGCGGCAGGAAGACTCTACTTCATTAATGGGGAGAAAAGGAAATTATGTGAAAAATCTTTTAATGCGTTCAAAGGACAAGGTTACCTGAAATTTGAAACGTGAAGAAATAACCCAGAATACTAAAAGA